GAAAATCGAAATAAATCAGGTTTAGGATATCATATCCAAAATTAAAATTAAAAAACTCTAACCAATATCACTCATTTACTCCTTCACTAGGTGTCGCGCCCTTCACTCCTATTTATGTCACATCCTTACTCCTATTCTCCTCTATCTCTCATATATATTTTCTCTCTTCACTCGTATCTTTAAGTTATTGAGTCTCTATTTTTCTCTCTTCTCACTAGCTCTTCTATATATCGAGGTCTGTTTGTAATACCCTGGAAATTCCTTTCTTTTAAAATACTCTCTTACTCTAAATAAAACTCTTTTTCAGGAAATAACCAGAATATTACCGCCACCGTGATAACAGCTAAGACTATTTTCAAAGTCACACAGCGGAAGACTAACTTTCAAAAACTCGAATAGAATAAGGTTTAATAAAACAAACTCAAACTTTAAAACCAATTTACATTAAACAAATAACCTGGAACCAATAAAGGCCCTTAAAAACTAAACTTAAATATTAAAACAATGATTAATATTAGTGTCAACGATAACATAAATAATTTAATACAATAAACAATAAACAAAGAAACACATAACCCTCTTCGCTCAATCCCATCATGCTTGATATGATATGCTCATTCTACCTGTACTTCTCTTTATTTCAACCTTACTACTCATCATATAAAATGGGTCATAGTAGGATCAATCCAAAGAAAAGCCAACACACAAACAACAAAGTACGAATCAACAAAAGTTGAATACATATACACTTATAGGAATAATCACACTAACATGAATATCCTAGCAATAGACAATAAATAAATAAATAAAACATGCTTGCCATACAACACAAGTCAACTTACCTTTGACTCATGAATCTACTTTAATTTATTAATATATAGCTTTGGATAACGCATCGAACGGGTTTCCTTCCTTAAAAATTGCCCATTAAACATGGAGCTTCCAATCAGGGAGCTACCCCAATTGGCACCTACTATGTCATATTGTGACGGAATTCTAGCGCATTAATAATAAAAGAAAGTACAGCGTCCTGTACTCCTGTAGAAACTATGGTTAAATATAAAATCCAATAACTCCCCCCCATATGTTCATCCTCAAGGTATATACGTTCCAAGAGTTTTGGTGCGTATCCTCTTACACTTTACGTGATTTACCAATTTAACTTGTGATGACTCCAACCAATCAATCAAGAACAACATTCAACACATACTTCCATTTCATTCTAGAATTAATTAGTGAGCACATACTATTTATTTTAATTAAGGTTCCTTGCCTAGTTTTGTGCACAAAATTGCACGATTACTACCTTGGTGCATAAAAGCACTAATAACTTCCTTGACTCAATCTCAACTTATGTGAGTGAGTAATAAACTTCAAAATTTGATACGTGTCGTTTACCGTATAAAATTAAATATTTATTTTCCTAACTTAACCTTCAAAAATATTAACAACTAGTAAAAGGGTAAGCAAGGGTCGATCCCACGAGGAGACTCATTAATTCCAAAATCCAAAGTTTAACTAAATTACATTATACTACGACAATTCTACATACAATACATTTGTTTACATATTTACATTAAAATGGGGAGGGGGGGTTTGTTTAAGGATAGTACTAAACAGCTAAAACTAAAATAAGCAGAACTACTATCGACGACACAACGAACCATTCCATTAAATAACTCTTACTTGATTTAGTCTATTAGCTACGACATACAATTGACCTTGATTACCACGATTATAATTATTTGACTAAATGTAAAGCCTAGGATAACAAAGACTCTCTATCATCACTTAATTTAACTCAATTACGAACTAAGCCAAATTGACTCTAAACCATTCTAACTTATACAAATATGATCGCAACTCATATAATTTAGAAATGGAAGCATTATAAACTAGGAGACATCATTATTAGTCCTAATTAATAATAAACTAACCTTCTTGACTCGACCTCAACTATGTGGGTGAGTAAATAAATAAACTAACTTTCTTGACTCAACTCTAATAATAAATGGGTGAGAATAAAATCATGAATCATGCTCACTAAATATAAATTTAGCTCTTTTAAACATATATAAATCTTGCTTAATAAATTCATACTTTCTTGATAATGAATAATAAATAATATAGATGATTCAGTCTCGTTCAACTAGTATCGAGCTCATAGTAATAATTTCAACGTACTCACATGCTTACATATAAGACATGGGTAATAGATCAATCATTCCAAGTATCACAACAATAACTTAACATGATATTAATCTCATTCTTGATACCAAATTTAACTTCCTAACATGGTACTACACATAATCAACATATCCTACGCACATACGTACCTCAAATCATCTTTTCAACTAGCTACAATGCTAGAAATTACTCAACCTTTAAGTCTCCTACAATACCAAATACATAAACTCAATTACTCTCTTGATTACACAAATTTCCAGTAATTTTTAAACACTTTAAAACCTCTCTAATAAGCTGAAATTTTGGTTTAAAACCCTTAAAGCTCTTTCTTTAAGTGGGTAAATAAAACCACAAAGTAAAAACATAATTATAGTGCTTATATAAAAATTCCAACATACTTTTTAAGGTTTAAACCCCTCAAATAAATCTAAAATTATATTAAAAACAATTAAAACCTTCTCTACTTATGGGTAATTAAACTCTCTTTATAAAAACATATTAGTAGTGTTTTAAATAAAATTCCAGCAATATTAATTTCATAAAAACTCCATAAAAATATAGTCTTTAAGCTTTATAATCACTTACAATCAATAAATATATAAAACCCCAAATTAATTGCAAGTTAGAACCCTAAAAATTAACTCTTTTATAATTAAAACCCTAACTTTTAGTACTTTATAAAATCTGAAATTTAAACACTTTATAATCTAAAATTTATACTCTTTAATAATCAAAACACAATTATAAAACATACTAATTATATTTCAACAATTAAAATCAAAACCCAAAATACATACTATTTGGGTCCAATTCACTCCAATTAGGTCGGTCCAAATGTTTTAATTACAAAAGCCCAAAAGCAAGGTTCAACTCTCCAGTCCAAATGCCAAGTCAGTCAATGCTCCAGTCAACGTGGCAAGCCCACTTGGTCTAAGGACCAATTAATCCATTGAGTAAAGGTATAAAAGCCTTCAATTGTCTTTCTTTACAATCATCCACATTAAGTCTCAAGCAATTAATTCTCTTGCATAATTTTCTCTCTTTAACACTGTACTGACTTTGGCATCTGAAGGGCCTTCCTCGGCACAACCCCCGAGGCTAGTTTTACGTGTGTTTGTTGTGCAGGAAACCCTCGGCCTAGTCATAACTTGGACCGAGATCAGCCTTCAACCTCAAAAAAGGGGCTAGCCGAAAGTCCTATTGTTGTCAACCGAAACAAATGTTTTAATTACAAAAGCCCAAAAGCAAGGTTCAACTCTCCAGTCCAAATGCCAAGTCAGCCAATGGTCCAGTCAACGTGGCAAGCCCACTAGGTCTAAGGTCCAATTCATCCATTGTGCAAAGGTATAAAAGCCTTCAATTGTCTTTCTTTACAGTCATCCACATTAAGCCTCAAGCAATTAATCCTCTTATATAACTTTCTCTCTTTAACACTGTACTGACTTTGGCATCGGAGGGGCCTTCCTCGGCAAAACCCCCGAGGCCAATTTTACGTGTGTTTGCTGTGCAGGAAACCCTCGGCCTAGTCATAACTTGGACCGAGATTAGTCTTTAACCCCAAAAAAGGGCCTAGCCAAAGGTGTTATTGTTTTCAACCGAAACAAATGTTTTAATTACAAAAGCTCAAAAGCAAGGTTCAACTCTCCAATCCAAATGCCAAGTCAGTCAATGGTTCAGTTAACGTGGCAAGCCCACTTGGTCTAAGGCCCAATTTATCCATTGAGCAAAGGTATAAAAGCCTTCAATTTCTTTCTTTACAGTCATCCACATTAAGCCTTAAGCAATTAATTCTCTTGCATAACTTTCTCTTTTTAACACTGTACTGACTTTGGCATCGGAGGGGCCTTCCTCGGCACAACCCCTGAGGCCAATTTTACGTGTGTTTGCTGTGCAGGAAACCCTCGGCCCAGTCATAACTTGGACCAAGATCAGTCTTCAACCCCAAAAGAGGGCCTAGCAGAAGGTCCTATTGTTTTCAACCGAAACATTTTGGCGCCGTCTGTGGGGAAAGATATCAAAAGCAAGCCAAAAATCGACCAATCTTAGCAAAAATGACTAAGAGTGGAAAGAGTACTAAGAAGAACGACTCTTCCTCTTCGAGGAAAGGTCCAATTCCGGTGAGAAGGAATCCACTTGCTCTACCATCACTGGAACCTTCTTCCACCTCTTTGAAAGCTCCCTCTTCCCCGGAAAGGGTAGCGCCGGAGAGGTTACCATCCCATCATACTCGTTAGCCGACTAACTCATATCGATCGAGTCAGTCCAATGCAAAGAGTCCTCCTCGAAGCTTCCATTCTCGGTCTCAACCGAGAACAACTCCTCAAACGGGGCCCTCTGCGGAGGAAGTGGCACGTGCTGTCGCGGTCTTCATGGACCTCATGAAGGCCCAAGGAGGTAACTTTCCACCACCCCGTGATCACTCACCTCTTCCGCCAAGAAACCTGAGAAAGAGGACCGGCCAAGAGAAAAGTGGACGGGCTTTATCCTTCAAGGAGCTTGGGGATAAATGGGAGGAGGACACTTGGAGGACCGAATGGGAAAGGAAAAAGAACCCCCAGTTCTTTGAAAATTCCAAAACCCGAGACTCCTAGGGCTACAAAAGCAGCAATACCACCTCCGCGTGGCAAAAGCCTGCTCGCCTAAACGTTCACGAATGTCTTGGCTCAAGGGAAGTGAGCGTGCATAGTCGCCTCACCTACCCAAAGGGAACTGAGCCCTATCCCGAGTCGTCACAGCCAGGTACAAAAGCCACTTCCACCTCTTTGAGAGGGAAAAGCGAGGTCCTATCGGCTAGACACAAAGGAAAGGCCGTAATGGTTCCTACTAGCTCACCCTTCCAAAGCTTGATTCTGGAGGAGCATGTTCCAACGGTGAAAATCCCGACGCACATCACTTATGATGGAACTTCGGACCCGATGGACCACATTGCCTCTTATGAGGGGCCCATGTACCTTAACCCTAAGTTCGAGGCAACCTGGTGCAAGTATTTCCCAACCACTCTCAAGGGTGTTGCACAAGCATGGATCAGTAAGGGAGTGAAGGAAGGATCAATAACTGGTTGGAAAGACCTTTCCAACAAATTTAAGAGTAAGTTTTCTACGGCGAACTGCCGAGAGAAAACGACTGCAGAACTGATGAGGCTGCAACAAGGGGAGGACGAGAGCCTCTTAGACTATATGACTCGCTTCAGCAGCGAGTCGTCCAGAATAACAAGTCTGGACCAAGGGCCGCTAGCCGTTTTCGCACTACACAAGGCCTTGCAAGCTGGAAAGTTCCTTGACTTCGTGGTCATGCATCCACCGCAGACCTTGGAGGAAGCTCTAGATGCCTCGGATAAATACATCCAAGCCGAAGAATGGAACAAAACCAAATCTCAGTCCCAATCCGGGACTGGGAAGGCGAAAGGACAACATTTTGAAGGCCAGGACCAGAGGAAAGGGAAGGCGAAAGCCTCACAACAGTCCTCGGCTCCTGAGCCGAAGAAAGAAAAAACCCCATTCATGGGGAGATATGAATCGTACACTCCTCTCGCCCTTCCACGTTCTAAAATCTACAGCATAACTAAGGACGAGGGGAAGTATAAAAAGCCGAGGCCACTACCATCGTGGCATCAGCAGAAAAACAAGGACCGATAGTGTGAATTCAACGAATCTCCTGGGCATCACACCGAAGACTGTATCTAGCTAAGGGATTAGATTGAGTATATGGTCCGAAAAGGTTAAATTAAAAAATATCCCGCAGACTGACGCGAAGGGAAAAGAGCCGAGATTCGGCAAGAACTGGATTTCCCCCGGAAAAAGGACAAGCCGCAAGGCAAAGACAATCCTGATATCCTTGTCATTTTTGGAGGAATATACTCTCGAAAAGCATTAAAACTCCACTTGAGGGGCTTGACCCATCAAGTAAATCACGCTGACATTCGAGTACCCCAGTCTCCGGTTCCGAATATCACGTTCACAGCCGAAGACTACCAGGGGGTGGCTTCCCCCATGATGACCTGCTGGTAATCATTACGGGCATCGTGAACCACAACGTCTGGCGAACTCTTGTCGATGGTGGAAGTGGTGCGAATATCCTCTTTCGGGGCATTCGACCAGCTGAAGTTGGAAACCAAGCACCTGACTCCAGTACCCTACCCGATATCTGGATTCAATGGTTCTTCAACATATCCTGACGGGAAAATTTCTCTTCCTGTCATCATCGGCAAAGACCAAGCAGCTCGGAATATCATGGCCGAGTTTTTGTTCGTGGACATTCCGTCTGTGTACAACGTGATTATGGGGAGACCCATAATTCAAGAGATTCAAGGAGTTGTCTCAACATACCATTAGATGATGATATATGTCTCGGACGAGGGACACTCCGAAAGAATTCAGGGTAGCCAAGAGGCCCGGAGATGTAATTACCTCGAGCCATCCAAAAGTCGCGGCGGCGACAGGGATGATGAGGAAGAAAGGGAAAAGGACCGATGCACAAAGAAGCCTAAAGGCTTAAGTGCTTCGGCCCAAGGCACCCCAAAACGAGATAAATCTTTGGGGAAAGAAAAAGCTGGTTCCAAATCTGAGCCGAAGGACTCAGAGCACCAGCCAAAGTCTAGGAACCATGTTGATATTAACAGCAGGCCGGATTGTGAAGAGTCCACCGCCAAAGAAATGGAGCTGGACCATCATACTGAATCAATAGAGTTGACCAAAGGGGATACCAAAAAATGTGTCAACATCGGGCTCGGACTCGATCCGAGCGTCTGCGTTAAACTTATCCAACTCCTTCGGGATAACAAAGATGTGTTCGCTTTCTCAGCAGCAGACATGCCCGGGATCGACCCGAACCTCATCTTCCATAAGCTTAACGTCGATCCTACATGTTGATCGATTAAGAAAAAGAAGTGGAATTACTCCGCAAACAAGAACCAAGACATCGCAGCCTAGGTAAAAAAAAACTCCTAGATGCAGGTTTCATTAAACCCTACCAGTATCCGGAATGGCTAGCTAATGTGGTGATGGTTCAGAAGGCAAATGGCACCTAGAGGATTTGCGTCGACTTTACGGACCTAAATAAGGCCTCTTCGAAGGACTTTTATCCCTTGCCGAGGATCGATCAGTTAGTCGACTCGACAAGTGGGCATGCCCTGCTTAGTTTCATGGACACATTCTCGGGGTATCATCAGATCTTCATGCATCCCGACGATCGAGAAAAAACGACCTTCGTTACAAGCGCCGAGGTGTATAATTATAAAATGATGCCCTTCGAAATGAAAAATGCGGGGGGAACATATCAAAGGCTGGTTGATCAGGTCTTCGCCGAGCAAAAAGGCCGTAACATGGATGTCTATGTTGACGATTCGATCGTCAAAAGCAAAAAGGATAAAGACCATGTCACGGACCTGGCCGAAACCTTCACTACCCTCAAAAAGCATCAAATGAAGCTCAATCCGAAGAAGTGTGTCTTCAGCGTGAAGTCAGGCAAGTTCCTTGGCTTCATGGTCAGCAAAAGGGGGATTGATGCTAATCCCACCAAAATGCAGGCAGCGCTCGATCTTCCCGAGCCAAGAACAAAGAGAGACGTTCAGAGTCTCATCGGGAGAATGGTAACCCTGTCCAGATTCATCTCCAAAGCCTCGAACAAGGGATTGCCCTTCTTCAAAGCATTGAAACTCCCAAAATCTAAAGAGCCCATCTGGGAAGACGAGAAAAAAGAGGCCTTTAAGCAACTCCGTGAACATCTGGCTCAACTCCCGACGCTGGCACGCCCAGCTGAAGGAGGAACTTTGTACTTATATGTGGCAGTTAGCCCGACCACTATAAGCGCGTTTTTGCTAAGGGAAGAAGAAAAAGTTTAGCAGCCGACCTACTTCGTCAGCCACATTCTGAAGGATGCCGAGACTCGCTACCCCCTACTTGAAAAAGTTGTATATGCAGTAGTGGTAGCCGCTCGAAAGTTGAGGCCCTATTTTGATTGCCATCAAATAGTGGTCTTGACTAATCAGCAGCTGGAAAAAGTCCTCGACAAAGTTGAAAAATCTAGTAGGCTAGCAAAGTGGGCCTTTGGGCTCACTAAGTTTAGCATTAGCTACCAGCCGAGAGCAGCCATCAAAGCCCAGGCCTTGGCGGACTTCCTGGCCGAGTGTTCTTATCAAGAGACACTAGACGAGGAAAAGAAAGTGTGGACTGTTTTCACGGATGGATCTTCCACCGTAAATGGTTCAGGGGCAGGGGTAGTCATAACCTCGTCCGAAGGCAAGTCCTTTGAATATGCACTAAAATTGTCATTCAAAGCTTCAAATAATGAAGCCGAATATGAAGCAGCAATTGTTGGCTTAGAGCTGTGCATAGCATTGGAAGCCGAGCATGTTTGTTTAAATACAGACTCTCAGCTCGTCGCAAATCAGATCCGAGGTGAATATGAGGCCAAAGAGCCCTCAATGATAGCTTACCTTGCAAAGATCAAAACAGTCATTACGAAGCTGAAAACCCTTGAAGTCGAGTTAATCCCAAGGGGTCAGAACGCACAAGCCGACGCACTCTCCAAACTTGCAAGTTCAACTCTAACTGAGTAAACCGATTTGTATATGTAGATGTGCGCTGAGAAAGAAGTGTGGACGAAAGTCGAGCTGGATGGACCCCATCTTAGCTTACAAGCTTCAGGGAGAAATTCCCGAAGACAGAAACTTAGCCTCCAAACTGAAGAGAATCAGCTCAAGGTTCATCATCCTCAGAGGAGAGCTGCTGAAAAAATCCATCTCAGCCCCATTAATTAAATGTGTGGTACCAACAGATGTTGACTACATCATTCGGGAGATCCACCTCAGCATTTGTGGAAACCATATCGGGGGGAAAGCTTTAGCCCACAAGGCACTGAGGGCTGGGTATTATTGGCCCACCATGATCTTAGACGCTAAGGAGATGGTCAGAAAATGCGAAAAATGTCAAAAATTCGCACTAGTCATCCATCAGCCAGCCTGAGATCTTCAGCCTATCTTGAACCCACTTCCATTTGCTTAATGGGGGTTGGATATCTTAGGGCTATTTCCCGATGCTCCGTATCAAAAAAGATGGCTGATAGTCGGCATTAATTATTTCAGCAAATGGATTGAGGCCGAAACAGCCTCGAACATCACAGAACAAACTGTCAGGAAGTACATCTGGTAGAATATTATCACTCGCTTTGGAATTCCAAAGGTCTTTGTCTTCGATCATGGGAGGCAGTTATTGATAATTTGCCGCTAAGGCGGTACACTGATCAGTTCGGCATCAAGTTGGCATATTTTGCAGTATGTCATCCGCAGAGTAATGGTCAAGCCGAAGCTGCAAACAATCAGATTCTCAACGCTCTCAAGAAGAGAGTTGAAGGTTAAAAGTCTAAATGGATAGAGGAACTTCGTGGAACCCTCTAGTCATTTCGAAGGACTGAAAAAGAGGCAACGAGACATTCACCTTTTAAAATGGTGTATGGATCCGAATCTGTTCTTCCACTGGAGTTGAAATCGGCACAGAAAGTCTGCGAGTAAATCTCTTCTCGGCCGAAGAAAACGAGCAACTCATGAAAGAATCCCTTGACTTTCTAGAAGAGGTTAGAGATTCGGCCCGAGACAAAATGGCTGCATACAAGCAAAGAATCAGCAAATTTTACAACCGAAGAGTCCACGCAAGCCTTCTCAAAATTGGGGATCATGTCCTTCGGAATGCTGCAGCTGTGCAAAAAGGCCGCATTCATGGGAAACTCTCAGCCACTTGGGAGGGACCCTTATGAAATTTATGATGAACTTCAGCCTGGAACATACTGACTTCGGTAGTTGGATGGAACTGAGCTGAAGAATTACTAGAATGCTGATGTACTTAAGAAATATCATGTGTAAGCCCTTCGGAGAAGAACAATCTATGTAAGTACATCTTTTTAAATTAATAAAGGGCCTTTGAGCCACCATTTGTATAAATTTAGCAAGTTTTTATTTTTGTCTTCTGCATTTTTTGAAAAACTAGATTCCCCTTAGGCACTGTCCGAAGTATAGCCTAGCAGGCATTGTACTTCGGATTGTCGTCAAACCTTCCAAACAAGGAACAATAATTTCACCCCCGAAATATCGCCCACCAGCGACAATGTACTTCGGATGAATCAATTCAAGGAACAATGATTTCACCCTCGAAGTATCGCCCACCAGCGACAATGTACTTCGGATGAATCAGTTCCGGGAACAATGATTACACCCCCGAAGTGTCGCCCTCCAGTGGCAATGTACTTTGGATGAATTAGTTCCCTGGCATTGTGTTTTGGATAGTCATTCCCTCGGATGAATTATAAGGATCAGGAGAATATTGTTCTCGGAGTCTAAGACTTTTGAACAACGAAATCAGATCCTTCAAAAATAAAGTATAAGAGAAAAGAAAAGGAGCAGAAACTTCACAATCTGAATTATTACAAAAATTTTGCCAAGGCAAAGCCTCGGCTGTACTGAAAAAGTTGAAGCAAGTACCTCAGAAACCTGAAGATTACAACTTCAGATTTCTGGGGGGGGGCAAGAAGTCCTCGGCTAAATAATAATTCCAAGTCGAAGCTCAACACTTAGAATTTTTTTTCAAAATTTAAGAAAAGCTAAGCAAAGAAAGCAAGGCAATGGAAAAGAAAAGCAAGGCAAAGC